GTATAACTGGAGCTCTGCCTTGGTACCCCATTGCTGGACTCTCCAAAGAGAGCTCTGACATGTATAAAGTTTTATGTATTCAGTCCCTTTGCCCTCTGGACTTGTGAAAATTGTATGAGGAGCATTCGTGCTCAAAAGGGCCTTGGCCTGAAGATACTTCTTCATGAAGAAAGGCCACTTTGAGGATAATATTCATGCTAGCAATAATGCCATGGAAAGCAACAGTCCCATGATAACTGGTGGGTACAGTTGTCATGCTTAAACACGGAACCATCTCATCTCAGCATCTCCAGAACCAAGCAAGGTCAGTGCTGCTCATCTTCATTTTGTAATTGAGGCAACTGAGGCTCAGTTAACTACAGTAACTTGTCAGAGGTACAAAGTAAGTATAAGTGGCTGAGCTGAGATTCAGACCCAGGCCCATCTGATGTCATAGCTCATTATTTTCTCCATGACATGAGGAGGCCTCCTCCTCCCTCGTGTTCCTCAGAGATCTGATAAGAATCAGATTTCTAGGTGAAATGCAAGAAGGTGACTATTCTGGTTAGATAATGGGAGAACTGGCCCCATCATGACAACAGACTCATAGGACCCACACATCACAGCAAAGGGCTCCCTACAGCTTTGACACTAGGGTGCTTCTCTGTGCACCTCCTTGCTCCCCTCCCATGAGAAAGGTCTTTCATCATCATAGCTAGTATTTTCAAACCTTGGTTTTAATTTGGGTACCCTCTCTCTTTGGGAGATTGCAAAAATTAAATCGTTTTTAAGCAACCCAACAACACTCCTGGGGTTTGTAATAAACTTGTGAAATTTGCAGAACTTGGTGGTTGAGGTTCTCTCCATCCTACTTCCCTGGGGCCCCGAGGAGCTTTCGAGTTGGTTCTTCATGCCCTCTTGTTCAGAGCTGCTTTGCCAACTGGGCCCAGCCATTGCATCTTGGACCAAGGAGGCCATGAGCCCAGAAACAGTCCAGGGTGTCTAGGAGAGCAATGCCCAAACCATGTTTCTGGCCCTGCCTTCCCCGTTATTCTGAGAAAAAACCGACCATACGTGGGTGGGAGGTCTCATCTGCAGAGGCCAGCCTTGTTTGTTTCCATAGGATTTGACTACTGAGGGGAACGAAAATACATAGCCAACTTCCCCTCATGAGAATTCACTGTCAGCCAGGTGTGGTGGCTCACGCCTATAATCCCAGCACTTTGGGAGGCCAACATGGATGGATCATTGAGGTCAGAAGTTTGAGACCAGCCAGGCCAAGATGGCGAAACCTCATCTCTCCTAAAACTACAAAAATTAGCCAGGCACAGGGGAGGGCGCCTGTAATCCCAGTTACTCTGGCAGCTGAGGCAGGAGAATCGCTTGAACCTGGGAGGCAGAGGTTGCAGTGAGCCCAGATCTTACCACTGCACTCCAGCCCAGGCGACAGAGCAAGACTCTGTTTAAAAAAAAAAGGAGAGAGGGAGTTCACTGTCTCCCCTTCCAGAAGATGACTCCACGGTCCCTTAAAGCATAGAACCACACTCCAATCGATGACACTGTTTCCTCTCCTCTGCAGAAGATTCTCTCCATTCACAGAAAACAGCCGCAAGATCATTTCCAGGCACCAGCTGTCACTGGGCTCATACTGTCATAGTCCCAGCCCAGCACACAAGGCAGGGTGTGTTTCTGGCTCCCCTTAGCTGGAAGCTCAGCTTTATGTGCTCAGGACTTGGATGGCATCGAGGCCTGTAGCGGGAAGATAACTTTCTGAGTCACCCTTCCCTGCTGTTCAGGTCATTCGATATAGCAGAGAGGGCCGTTGGGTCCCTAGGGGGACAATGGCAAAGAAGGGGCCAGGAAGGAGCTTAGCCTTTGTGTCTTGTCCTTGGTATTTAGAGGGCAGCACCCCTGTATTTTTCTAATCATAAGAATCTGGAACCTGGGCCAGAGGGCTGGGCTCTAACCCTGTCTCCACCCTTTGCCAGCCGTGGATACACTCTGTACTTTCCCTCATCTGTACAGTGGAGCTAATGATAGTACCTACCTCCTGGAACTGTCATGACTCTTAAATGAGCTGACACACATGAAGCGAAGTGCTTATACCTGGCAGAGAGGAAATGTGTATCTTCCATCTACAGCATTATGTGACTGTATTTCTACTATTCAGAGTAATGTTTACCTGGTCATATGTCTTCACAAATAAACTGTGGTGACAGACAAGTAACTGTCTCAGTGCTTGGTGAGACTCAGAGACAAAGGACACCACAGACCCTCAACAGAACAGTGCCCCCCCGCCAAAGATGTGTAGACCCTGATCCCCGGAAGCTGGGAATGTGTTAGGTTACACGGCGAAGGGCAGAAGGAGCTAAGCCTGTGAATCAGCTGTCCTTAAGGCAGGGAGAGAAGCCTGACCTCTCTAGGACGACTTATGTCCAGTATCCTGGCTGAGCCTGTTCCCTTTACCAAACCAGGTTAAGATTTAGAACTTCTCTCTTTTTTTGTTTGTTTTTTTGAGATGTAGTCTCACGCTGTCGCCCAGGCTGAAGGGCAGTGGCGTGATCTGGGCTCACTGCAACCTCCGACTCCTTGGTTCAAGTGATTCTCCTGCCTCAGCCTTTGGAGTAGCTGGGATTACAGGCACCTGCCACCAAGCACAGCTAATTTTTGTATTTTTAGTAGAGACGGGGTTTCACCATGTTGGCCAGGATGGTCTCGAACTCCCAACCTCGTCATCTGCCCACCTTGGCCTCCCAAAGTGCTGGGATTATAGGTGTGAGCCACTGTGCCTGGCCTCAGATTTATAGCTTCGTTCATGGCAACCTCTGGCTCATTTTTCTCAAGTCCTCTGAACTCTTTAAAAATATATATATAAATCTTTCATCTAAAGTAATTTCATTTCAGTTCAATTCTTTCTCTCTCTCTTTTTTTTAAATATTATGTACTCCAATGGTTTTTTTTTTTTTTAGAAAGAAAGAAAAAAAAGGAGCGAAGGAGATGAAGAAAGAGGAAGAAAAAGAGGGAGAGGGAATGGGAATGTAGCTTTATTCTAAAAATGGGTATTAATAATGGCCGATCAATATTTTGTGTATTTAAGGTGGAGAATGTATATTTTGTGTATTTAAAATGGAGAGCTCTATAAATATTTATTGAGTTTACTTGTTCCAGATCTGAGTTCAAGTCCTGGATATCCTTATTAATTTTCTGTCTTGTTGAGTCTAAATCTCTTTATGAGTCTTATGTATCTGGGTGTTAGGATCATTAGCTCTTATTGTTGCATTGATCCTTTTACCACTATATCTTTGTTGCTTTGAAACCTATTTTATCAGATGCAAGAATTGCAACTCCTGCTTTTTATTTATTTATTTATTTTTGCTCTCCATTTGGTTGGTAAGTCTTTCTCCAACCCTTTGTTTTGAGTCTTTGTGTATCTTTGGATGTGAAATGGGTCTGGATGTAGCATACCCTTGGGTTTTGGCTGTTATCTTTTGATTGGGGGATTTAGTCGACTTAAATTTAGGGTTACTGCCATTTGATGTTAACTGGCTATTTTATCCATTCGTTGATGTAAATTCTTCTTTATGTTGATGCTCTTTACTTTTTGGTATAAGTAAAATATACTCTCTTTTTCTACCTGTTTGTTTGGCCTTTGGAGATTGAGAACAAAGAGTAATGGGACTCATTACCCACAGCTAGTCACAAGGGTCCTGAAAAGTGGAGGAGGAGACAGAAGGAGAGTGACTGCAGGAGGGAGGTACCAGGGAGGCCTCCTTGCTGGCTGTCAAGGTGGAGTGAAGAGGCCACCAGCCAAGGGGTGTAGGCAGCCTGTCTCTTCTGCAGCTGCTTTTTAAAACTCCAGGACTTTCTTCCACCAACAAATTCTTTAGGTTTTATTAGAATTAGGAGGCAGCTAGCAACTGCAACAATAGAAAGACTACATATCATTTGGGATGCCTGTGTGGCTTCTACTGCTCCCAACACATTCAGGAGTCTTAACAGATTATTGTGTGAAAAAGTGCTGAAGACTGGACTTCCATTTCCTAAACAATTCCATTCTCTTTAAGAAAACTGCCAATAATGATTAAAAAGAAAATTACAGCAAAATGGAGTCTTGCCTGAATCCTTGGGCCCGCCACATTGCCCGCTGGTTCTATCAGCAGCCAGCGTTCTGGAAAGGCTTCCTTGGCATCAAAGAAGCCGGATCCTCCTCACGCAGTGGTGGGTCCTGGGCCATTTTTGCTGCCTCGGTCTGGGGGCTTACCATCCTCCGAAGCTCTCTGTGTCTGGAGATGTCTCCCATCCTAGCTGAGCCTGCTCCCTTTCCAAACAAGGTTAGGATTTATAACTTAATTCATGGTAACGTCAGGCTCATTTCCCTCAAGTCCTCCCACCACTTTATATATAAAATATATATGTGTGTGTGTGTATGTATATATATATGTAATATTTCATTTAAAGTCATTTCATTTCAGTTCAATTCCTTCTCTCTCTCTCTGTCTCTTTTTTCTCCTTGTTCCTTTAGCCTTTGGAGATGGAGAATGAGGAGTAAGAGGACTCATTACCCACAGCTAGTGACTTGGGTTAGAAGTGAAACGCTACTGCTGGGTCCTGACTTATTTATTTATTTTCTGGCCACAGAGCCACAGGCTCGGTCCCTAGCGAACCGCTTGAGGACATCTTGTGGGACCATCTGTTTGCCCCCACCCACCCCCACCAACCGCCAGGCTCCGATTGTTGGTGGTGGTGGTTTTTATTTCTTTAAGTTTTTGTTGATTTTTATAAACTCTGTAGCTCTGTGTTTTTTAGACTCAGCTTGCTCGTGTAAAAGCAAAGCCAGGACAAGAAGAATAAACAAAGAGAGGCTGGCGGCAGGCTGGGTGTGACACTTAGGAAGCCCACCGTGTGCCTGCGGGCGGTGGTCGCCTGAAGATGCATCTAAAAACTTGTCGGTGCCTGAGGGTTTAAAATAGCCAGGCTTCCTGCTCCTCGGAGAGGGTATGCACAGAATGGGGGTGACTCACCATCGGTGGTTTTCGATGTGTCTGTCATAAGGAGGTATCATCAAAAGCCCAGCCTGTCTCACATGTTATTTTTTCCACTTTCAGCCACGCGGTGCTGGGAGAGCAGAATGCTTAAAACCAGTGTTTGTTTTGAGCCCGGAAGTGAAGGCCGAATCAATTGTGCTTCAGCAAGTAAAAACTGACCCCGATGGGGAAAAAAATGTAAACTGTGAAGCCGGAGTTTCAAAGTTCTTGTTTTCAGAAAGTTTAATTGTATTTCAACTAAAGCCAAACTGTCAAAACATGGGAGAGTGATCTGCCGGCTCTGAAAACGCATTAGCCTTCCCATGTCAAAGTCACATCCAAGAGGAAACCAGAGCTCGGGGGTGGAGAAAGAAGGAAGACGGCCTCTTAGAATGCCCAAAGGACACTTCCCTATCAACCGCGTGCGAGGCTTTAGATCTAGGTTTGGGAAGTGGGAAACTGGAGAGGAGAACAAAGGCAGAGCTCAAGCGCTCTGTGAAGGGAGAGGGTTGACAGCATCAGGCCTGGTTTACCAGGGCACTGTGAATTAGAATTTACATAAGCGAGAACCTGGAAGAGATCCTCAAAAATCTCAACAGCTTTGTAAATAACAGCAGGCCGGCCTTCTTCCTCCTGAGAAACGCCAGGGTGTGTGTGGGTGCCCCCAGGGCCGGGCTAATGCCTGCGGGCCTCTCCCTGCTTCCTGCTTCCGGCTCAGCTGGCTTCCGGGTTGTCTCGTCTTTTTTTTTTTCCCCAAACTTCACTCAGCCACTTCCTGCAAAATGGACTGTGGGTGGTTGAGTCTCTGTCCTCTTCATCTCAGTTCCCATTCCTGCCTCTCCTTCCATGACCTCCTAGACCTTTGTGCTTTCTAGCACAGAGATTCTTAATCATGTTCTTTTGATGGCTGAGAAGTATGTGTATTCTTAAACCACTCTCAGATTAAATTAAGCTTGCGCTAAATAAGAAATACGGATGGAAGCCATTCAACATGCTTCTGGGATAGAGCTGGAGCAGGCATCAAACAGATCGTGACAGTTTGAATGGAGTGTCAAAGGGCTTGGAATAACCAGCCTACTGCTTGGGTCCCCAAAGGCGGCCACCTTGTTTCTTCCTTCTTGGGTCAAGCCACCAGCTTCCAGCAGACCCAGCTCCTCCAACATCTCTGTCATTTCAAGGGAAAATGCAGAGATGATCTTTGAAAACAAGCCCACGTACCTGTGATTAGAATGCTGCTAGGCTTTAGAACCCTTTCTTCGTCTACCCTGGTGACATGAGGCAGCCATCTTTCTCCCAGTGTGGCTGATCTCCAAAATACGATGCATTTTCTGTAGCCCAGTATTGGGTAGAATGGACTTTCTGGACTCCGGTCCAGGTCTCTCTGTTTACCTTGGAAAAGAGTTGCCAGATACAATACCAGATGCCTAGTGAAACATGAATTTCTAACAAACAACACATCTTTTCTTTAGTGTGAATATACCTTAAATGTTATATTAAAAAGCATGTTCCCTGCAATATTTAGAGCATATTTACACTAAACAATGGCGTGTTGTTTATCTGAAGTTCACATCTCACCATGCCTCCTGCATTTTTCTTTGCTAGGTCTGACAGCCCTTCCGGAACCTCTTGCTTTCCGAAAGAATGTGGGCTCCGCAAGCCAGGCACGAGAGTGGGTTCTGATGGGGATGGGAGCCTGACTGGGGCTGTGTTTTCCTTTTAAGGTTCTTGTTGGTACAACCTGCCACACCAGTCGTTCTCATTCCTGCTCCACGCCTGGATGCTCCGTTCACACCTCTGTCAAAGTGCTGGTGATCACTGTCACGGTTCTCAGCTTTTCGGGCTGGGGCTATGTTTGTTCATCTGGGAGCCTGGCACACAGTAGGTGCTCAATATATACATAAGCAGAGCTGATGGCATAGGAAGCAGAAAGCTGGCACCAGGCTTCCTCAGGCCATGTCCAGACAGCAGAGCCACCGCTTTGACAAACTCCAAATGTCTGGAAAGCCAGCGGAAGCCACCGCACAGCTCACACACATAATGATAGCTTTCTCCTTCCTTATCCCAGACTGTTTGGATGCTTTTAAAAAAACTGCTTTGGGGAATCAGCAGAGGGTGAGGGAACCTCAGAAACTGGCCGCGAAGGAAAACAGGAAAGAAGCGCCTCTAATTAAAAGCAGCCAGCTCCCAGCTCCCTCTGCAGGGCTGGGGGTCCTGCTGAGAAGGGGAGGCTGTCCCCCTCGCCCGCTGGCGCAGGGGGCAGGCAGCCTGTGCAGACCCCAAAGAAGAGCCTGGGGCCCTACAAAGAGGAGGGTCAGGGTTTGGTCAAGCCCTCTCCACAAGCCGCCTTCGCCCTCACAGCTCTCCTAAGTTCCTTCCTCCCCCACCAGGCTCCGTGCTCAGGTCCGCAGCATGCATCATCTGAGGGGCTCTGCAGAGCTATCTTCTGTTTCTTTCATCACAGAGAAGAGTCTCCTTTTAAGTTCGCTAACACTTGCTCTCAGCACACAGCGTTTATTGTCGAGTACTGCCGTCAGCCCCTGCATTTCCAAGATATTTATGCAACGATATATATACATCCGGACACGGCCACTCTGCGAGATCAGTCAGCAGTACCCCATTCATTTTCTAAATCCAAGAGAAGGCCCAGAACAGTGAACAATTGGGCGGTGGTCACACAGCAAGCTGCACAGGGCTGTATCATCCATGCGTGGTAGGCACAGTTGAGCCACTGGAGAGATAAAGATGAGAAAGACACTGTTCCTGGTAAAATGGTAAGGAATGCAGATGCATCTTGAGCCAAGAGGAACACAGTGGGGAAAGAAAAGAGATGCCTTATGAGCGAATTCATCACACGCAAAGGAGGAAGGGAGTAATTTTGTTAGGGAGCAGTGGGTCAGGGGACATGGCTAGGGCATAGTGCCAAGGTTCCAGGTCAAGCTGCTGTCTGGTGCTGAGGTTTGTCCTCCGAGTAATGGCAATGAGACACGAGACAGATGGTGCTGGTCAGAAGGGCCAGCTGGCCTGTGGGGCATGTCGTAGGAAGAGAGGAGCGAGGGTTCCTGCTCAGAACACCTGAATCCAGTGTTGCCTCTGCCATTAACAATATTTGGACAAGTGATCTTAAAGTCTCTGGGTCCCACACCTGACTTTCTCAGCTGAAGCTGACTGGGACTGGATTTGATCCTGTAAGAAAGAATACCATGAGTGCTAACATTCTAGGATTCATCGAGGAGCCGTGATTCCTAGACCACGGCCCATTGCATGGATTCAAACTTAGACCACTTCAGGCCCAGCATGGTCCATGGAGACGAGAATTCAATGACTTACTGATATTTGCTGCACACCTACTACGTGCTTGGCACTGTGCTGAGCCCGGGGCTCAGTGGTGCAGAAACAGGCACTGTTTGTGTGCACCGGCAGGGCCTGGAGGAAAGCAGCTGCAGACCATATTCATCTCTCTGTGCACACTTGCTCACCATCGCTTCTGCTTCATGGGTGAGCACAAAGCGATTTCTGGGCAGTTTCAGACACACAGCTTCAGCAAGTTCGCACTTTGATCTTAGCAAAGTTGCGTTCTGCGGCTCTGGCATGCTCAGCCCCTCCTCAGGGCGTGGGAGTCGGCGTTTAAGTAGATCAGAGTAAGCAGTACCCTGCTGAAGAGGTTTTTCCAAAGCCTGTGGTCAGTCACTGAGGGGCAACGTCAGGAGGGGCAGATTCACCCCCCAACAGACTCACCCACCAGGCAGCCAGCTCACTGCCGATGGGTGGGTGAGGTCTCTCTCCCTTGAAAATGTCTGTAGCACCCAGAAGAGGCCCCGTTTAAGGTGAGTGCTCAGAAAACTTTGTGGTGATAAAGAAGAGTTGAAATAAGCATTCCTATGCTGATATTTGATGCAAATGACTCAAGGGAGTATTTAGACCTTTGGGGAAAAGTCATTCGTTAGACCCCGAGACAGCGGGCAGAACTAGAGGGAGGCGGAAGAGCCCAGTGGCAATGGTGTGGGACTGGGACTTTCCTTGCTTTGCTTGGTACATTAGAAGGCAAGATCACAACTCAGTTCCTCATGGTCAGACCAGCTGGCCCAGGGACCAGGCATCCCAGTCGGCGGGGGCAGAGTCCCGCTCCCCACTGTTGTCCTTGGCTAATTATGAATCATTCCTTTTTTATTCTTAGAAGTGCCCTTGTTTGAACACTTGAAGAGATAAACCAGATGACTACTTTGAAATCTCAAATAAGTAGGATAGGGGAGACGAACTTCAGAAAGAAGAATGCCCAGCCATGTCCTACGGTGTGGCCTGGAACTGGCCACGTCAATGCAGTTGTCTCTTTCCCAGAAGCTCAGGTGCTTCTCCGTTAGGACTGTTTTCATCAGTTCTTACCACTTCCCAATGTCAGGCTGACACTAAAATTCTGGTCCTCAGAACAAAGATTTTTCAAACCCCCAAGTTGCCATGCATACTTTGGAAGCTCTGTTTTTTCTGCAAAGCATCTGTCCCTGCCTTTCCTGCAAGCCTTCATCCATTCCTTTCCATATGTCATGAACCGAGTGCTCTAAAGAATACATTTTATGAGGGGAGAGCTACACAGAGCTATTTCAGAATTACTGCATCTGAAGGGAGGCCGGGGACCCTCGGGATGTCAGGGGACCCAGACCCTGGAGCTCTGGAAGCCTTGACTCCAGTTCTGCCACGCTGGCTGCAGGCTGAAGGCCTGGATTTCTCAGGAGTAAAATGCACATCTGGCTGATGAGAGAAGTAAACCAAGAAATAGAGCAGGGTGACCGGCTGTGCCAGTTGTTCAAGACTGTCCTCATTTTAGCTCCGAAAGTCCCAGGAAATCCCTCCGACCAGGCGCACTGGGACAGCTGGTCATCTTGAATGCTGCCTGGTATTTACCAAGTACCGAGTACATTTTAGTTCTCTCCCCTCTTCCTGCAAACAAAATAAATTGCATTATTAATGGTGAAACTTAAGAGATAGTGATAGATTAGTTCGTGGTAGAGCTATTGGTGGGTGCAAGGTCTTCCTAAGGCACTTAAAGGAGGGTACACTCCCCACTCTACTGGTCATGTTGGCTCTGACTCCACTGGTGAAGAGAACTGGCCACAGACTCTGGGAATCCCAAAGCATTGAATCCACCTATGTGCCTCCGGTGTGGATCTTAGCATTTCACCCTTTCCTTGTGTCAGTAGAACTGCAGTGGCCCTGGAGACAGACGT